TTAATAGTTTATGCCCTGGGCTAGAGTATGGTCAGGCCAGCCTGATTTCATCATGGAAATCAAATTGGTTACTGATAGACTTTGTTACTGTAGATGTTAACATTGTAAATTGAATTGAGACTTCTTCTATTATTTATATTGACAAAATGTGTAACCTTTTTTCTACACAGACTGTTTATTACTTTGAAAATAAAGTGGACGGCTTTTTGTTACTTTTCACTTGCACATTTATTTAACTCATTAACTGAATAAGCCAAAGCCAAAAAAGTAGTAATCTGTAAAGGAGGCGGTCAAGTTTAATTATATACTTATTCATAGTTCAATGCAAGCTAAATTATTTTATCATGATATTTGTATTTAGATAAAGCAAATGGAGGTGAAAATTCACAATCAGGGGGGAGTAATCTGAAGATAGTTGATGTAAGGTCATCTGTTGGTGAAGATGACAAGGGAGATAAGTCTGAACAGAACTTCTGATACTGTTACAGCCAAGGGAGATAATGCTGCTGAAAAAGATAAAACTATACAAGACAATGCTGTTGATGAAAAGGTAATGCTTTTCATTTTTTGTTTCTGTCAAATTTAAGATAATTCTTGTTGGCAGTTTCAAGGGCATTAAAGGCCTCATGTTCAATTCATTTTGAATTTTGTATATACATACAGATATTAGTGTAATATCTAATCATGTGCAAAAGGCTTGGATGCTAGTTGAAAAGCATGTGTTGTTTGGGGATCTGGGACCTTCATATGACTGTTTTTTCCTTGTTTCATTTTAATGTAAAAAAATGTTGATATTTTATGGAAAAATTTTGATCACATGTGGGAATTGGAAAGGTACCATATTGCATGGGGAAAAATGCCCACTCTCTGACTTACTATTAGACAAGCTTTCAACATTTACTATCAAGGACTGAGTAAGTTAAACATTATATATGAGAATATCAGGTTTTTATTGAATCATTGAACATATTTGTGTGTGAGTGAAAGTTTGATATGTTATTGTTTAATAACAGGGTTAAAAGTGAAACAAGAATCTGCCACTAACAGCTACGCAGAAAGATAATGAAAAGAAAGTGGTTGTTGATCAGAAAAAGAAAGTCAAGCAAAGAGTCTATTAAAGGTTATTCATGATTATTAATTTATCGCTTTCTATATTGCTTGTTTTATTTTGCTGCTTATTTTACAGCAGATTACGTATATTATCTGATGAAGAAAATTTTTGATAAATACCGTCTGTTTTATCAATTACAATGAGAAAGAATAAATTAAGAAATCAGTTCTAAAACAATTATGGAGTCAGGGTGCTTAAATATTTGTACTAAACTGATATAACATTTTATAAACTATTCCAATAGATTGATAAATGATATATTTATATGTCACGAGATAGTGATTGCCAAGCACTCTGAAATAACTGTATAGTTCCTTTAAGTAATCTTCCCCTTGATCTGTCACACATATTTGAAACATTTATATAAATATATGATTCAGAAATGTATTTAATTGTTTAGAATTAAACAACAAAAGACTGATCATTCAAACAGTAACCTGTATATGAAATGAATACAGTTTCATCCCCGGTTATTAGACAATCCTTTATTTGAATACCCGGCATCATCCGAAGAAGATCGGCGGTCCCCGTTTTTATCTCTATATAAATCAATATAAATACGAGCGTATTACTCGAAATGCATTTTCGATTACCTCCTATTTTTCGAAGTAAAAATTTCGGTCCCGATTATACAATTATGAAAGAATTTCACACCTATTATTTCGAAGGCCAGACTAATTATTATTTCGAAGCCAGACTAATTTGGTGCAGAATACATTCGCTGACCGGGGGATGACTTGTGAAAAAATATCAACAGTCATACGTGTATTTAGACAATCGTTTTGATAATTACCCCTTTGTGTGTTCTAAAAATCAACTTTAAATTACCGAAAATGAAAAAAGCTTAGTGCACCGTGTCCCGGTTTTGTTACTGTTATTTTGCTTGAAGATGACAGCAATATTTTCATACATACCGTATATGTGGAATTTGTCAAAACATCCAAACATTTTTATGCCCCCCACAAAGTGGGAGCATATAGCGTTGCACTTGTCCGTCCGTCTGTACGTCCCGAAATCTTGTGAACGCAACTCCTCTTAAACTGGTTGGCAGATTTTGCTTAAACTTTCAGGGCATGAACAACCTTAATGTAGATGAGTAGTAAAGGAAGGAATTTCGCTGTGCCCCCAAATTTAACAGAATTATGGCCCTTTGTTGAATTTTTCATTATACACTATGTAGAAATTTTGTGAACGCCACTCCTCTTTTACGGATGGGGGGCAGATTTTTTTTTTTGCTTAAACTTCCAGGGATGAACAACTTAATGTGTAGATGGTATTAAAGGAAAAAAGGAATTTTTCTGCCAACAAATTTAACAGAATTATGGCCCTTTGTTGATTTTTTTACACTATATACTATTGTAGAAATTTAATTTTGTGAATGCAACTCCTCTTAAAAACCGGATTGCAGATTTTGCTTAAAAACTTACAGGGATGAAACAACGTTAATGTGTTAGATGGTAGTAAAGAAGGAATTTTGCTGCAACCAAATTTAACAGAATTATGGGCCCTTTGTTGATTTTTTTAGTTTTCAACTTGTGTCACATGTAGTCCAAAAATATTGACCTAGAGTCATAAGATTGACAAAACAGTGGCGTGTGGGGGCATCCGTGTCCTATGGACACATTTCTAGTTTTTATTAATTGTAACGTTACATTGAGAGCCTTTACTCTAATCGAAAAATACCAGAGTTAAGCTGTAAAATACCGTTGTGACAACACGGCCATTATCAAGGCTTCGATACATGTAAGAGAATAAAATTGCAAGTTCTTTATGTCTTCGATGCCAATAAAAATAATTTTTACGCATCTTATCTTTTAATATTATTTTTCTCAGTTGATTGCAGGGGAAGTAAGTTTGTTGTAAAGGGTAGTTTTGCTATGATTGGTCAAAGTGGAGTAGTTTTCGTCTATCACAAAAATCCCGATTTCGATTATTCGAACCCCATCGATTATTTAAAGTAAATATACAGTCCCAGGCACTTTGAAAAAACGGGGTTGGACTGTACCTCCTTAAAAATGATTATTTGTGTAAAATAATTTTGTGTATGTAAATTTTAGCAAAAAAGGAAGAAGAAGATGATGATGTGATTGCTATTAAAGAGGAAAAGAAAACCAGTCCTGAAACCAAAACCCATCTAAAATACAGACCTGTATTGTATGTGCAAAGGTGAGCTTCCTGTTCTACAATGTTACCATATATGAGCCGCGCATCAGGCAAAACCCAAATAATGCATTTGCTACCAGCATGGAACCAGACCCAGCCTGCGCGCAAGTCTGATCAGGATTTCCATACTGTTCGTTTACAAACCCTATTAAAGTAGAGGAACTGATAGCGAACACACATGGAGATCCTCATAGACTGGTCGAAAAAATCCATTAATGTTTGGTTATTGTTACGCGCAGCTCCGTATTACACACCCAATGATACTATTAAAATGCCCAGTCAGTTTTTTGCCAGAAAAATAAATAAAATTTTCAAATTTCTGAAGCGGCTGCATTGTAATGATTGACCTGAGCTTGAATAGATTGTAACCAATAGATTGCACGTAGAACTACTTTTGGCATTCATAGGAAAGGTCAATATGACCCAAAGTCTAGTTAATATTTTAGTTTTAAAAATCTTATAGTGTTTAAATTTCTATTTTTAAGTTTAAATCTGTACTGAAATTAATAAAAAAAATCTGTCAGTGCTAGTGACAAATAATGCCACCCAGACACAGTGGAAGCCAACCTAATCATTGTGCATAACTGTAGAAGTATAGAAAATTTAAAAAGTTTAACATTTTTAATCCAAAGCAAAACAATAAGGAGCATGCAGGTCAATAAAATTAGCTTTTTCAAGATTGAATTATGAATTTTGTTATTGTTATGAATTGAAGTATTTAAATTTGAATTTGCTTGTATTCAAAAGGTTGGGAAATGCAAATATAACATAGTTAGAAATGGAGATGTGAAACATCTGTTTTGATGATACCTGCTTCAAACAATTCCGTAGCAGTCCAACAACTTTACCTGAAACAGGCTGAGTCAGCTGCCAGGCCCAGACCTAAAACTGAAAAACCAGACCAACAGTAAACACAGCCCCTACACCAGCCAAAAAATAGTGTTACCAGTCAAGTCAGTACAAAAACCAACAAACAAGCATTCCAGCCGGTTTGTTTAACTTGTTACTTATCATCGTATTGCTTTCATTTGTGTGATAAAACATGCCCTCCAGAAATGAAAAATATTGCAGTGATATCTGCCTACTTTCAAAACAATTTCTTCCAAAACTTTTAATATCGTAAGAGTTAAATTAAATGATATAATTCCATAGAACTTGATTTCAACATTTATATACTATTACATATATTGGTAATTGAATGTATATTTTCCATATGTGAAAGACTTTTATATTAAGTATCCATTTTGTGGTTATTTTTTTAGCAGTCACAAGTTTACAAAACGTGCACAGTGTGCCAACTGATGAATGTTCCGCACTTCAAAACCGTTCCTAAACTGGCAAGGTCTCGACTTTTGTGAGTGAAGAATGTCTCGGGAAGTATCAAGGTGGACTAAGTAGCAATTGTAAGCTATTGCCCTCTGGGCCCAATCTTCCCAAATAACAAAGCTAAGTTTTGTTGTCGTGTTTTGGTAAGCGAAGTGAAACACTTCTGTAGCGTCAACTGTAACAATGATTATGTAAAACGAATGAAACTTGTGCATTCTGTAATAAAGACTTGGCTCAGAGCACAGATTCTTTTATGGCACCTGTTGGTGAAACATTTAAAGATTTTTTGTAGCCAAAGCTGTCTACAGAAGTTTTGAAGAAAAGAACAGTAAAGATGTTGAAATAGTGGGTGTGCAAAAAGGACAAAAGGCAACTAAAGCACCTAAAGGGCAATTTTGTATGTGCGGTGTTGTGTGGGAAAGTTGGACCGGTGAAGCATGAGTTTAAATTAGACTCGAAAATGAACCGATTATGTAGTGATCCGTGCTTCTCAGCATTCCAGTATGCAAATAAACTGACACTAAACACGTGCGATAATTGTGGTACAAATTTAAATGCGGAAAACCAAGCTCCACAATATGTACAGTTTGAAGGACAGCAGCGAAGATTCTGTAGTTTTATGTGTGTAAATACATTTAGAAATGCAAATAAGAAAACAGTGCCCTGTGCATGGTGTGCAAACAAGAAAAGTAACTTTGATATGATAGAACGAGTGGATGCTCATAACAAATATCAGTTGTTCTGTTCCTTGAATTGTCTATCACTGTATAGGGTTAACCTACAGGCTACTTCCAATCAGGTAACTTGTTATGTTAGTTTGTTATTTTTGTAATTAAACAGGCCATTATTTGAAAAGGGTAACACACTTAAATCGTTATGGTCAGTGTGTTTTACACCCAAAATATGTTGTAATTTAATAAACTTTTATTGTCATTACATTTGTATTGAAATTTTGCTGTTGTAAGTAGCATTAGAAGATAAATTTAAAATGCCCTAGAACAAGTTGTATAAGCACAGTGGGTAAAGGAACTGTATCTCATTTGGATGTCGCAAGCTGAAAATCGTGAATTTCAAAACAGGAAGCATGTTTGAGTGTAAGTAATTATGTTTTCTAAAGAAATTTTTCCACACTATGCACAAATTTTTGTTTTTAAGACAAAATCAAATCACTGGCATGAAACACATAGAGTATATCATATAGGTGTCAAATTTTTGTATTTAAATTTATTTATTTTTTTTTTAGTAAGAGCTTGTCAAATAAGAATTCAATGATGTATGCCATATATAAATAACTTCAATTTTAATCATACTAACCGGAGCAAGTTGACGTTTGTTTAGATATTGTCTAAATGTGATACACTTGTTAGATCAACACTGTGTGATCTGTTGTAAATTTCCTCAGTTGACATCTATATCTTATTTGCAAGCTGTGTATGCTATCTTGCGAGTCTCACTTGGTGATTAAAGGAATCTGTATCATTTATTGTGATTATTTGTGTTTTTGTTACCTTAATTGTGTAATGTGATTATGGACAGATAAACATTGTCAATAGGTTTTAAGAATAACGTTTAAGTATATGTAATTTTATACAAAAGATAGGAAAATAAATAATAGTAGGTTCGAATCCCAATAAAGCTTCGAATTCATTCATGTGAGGAAGCTATCCAGCAGCCTACGGAAAGTTGGTGGTTTCTACTCAGATGTCTGTTTATGTCTGAAATAATGCTAGGAAGGGCACCTGAGGTCTTAATCACCAGTAAAGCTGGAAAGTTTCCATATGACCTATACTGTGTTGGTGCAACAAAAGCCCCAGCCCAAAAAAAGCAAAAGAGAATTCCGGTTATCTCAGAACAAAAAAAAACATGCTATTATCATTCCTTCATCAACTATTAATTTTGCTTAAAGTATAAAATGATATGATGATAAAGTTCAGATCTTTTACTATTTTCCAGGAAACGCCGGATAAGACATCAGAAATAAAGGATATTGAAATGGATGACATTGATGAAAGTTTTGATAAAGAGTGTAATCGGTATATATGTAAAGTTTGTAACTATAATTCTAAGTACAAACAGAACCTGAAGAGACACATGAATATTCATCGTGAAGGCAAGTTTCCGTCACCAGTCAGCAATACTCCACCGAAACAAAAACTGAAAACATGTCATTCTTGTAGTATATGTAACTACACTTCAAGTAGGAAATCAAATTTCACTAGACATCTACAGGTTCATGAGACTGATGAACGTTTGAAAAAAATGAAAGAAATCTACATTTGTGAAACTTGTGGAAAACAATTTAAATCAAAATTTGCTCTCAAACTTCATACAGAATCCATTCATCTGAAAAAGTTTAAATTCAGTTGTCCGACGTGTGACAGAGGCTTCAATCAATTTCATCAGTTTAGAGGACATATGGCGTCACATCAAGAAAGTCTGAATGAAAAATGTTTACTGTGCTCGTCTACTTTTCGTTACAAAACAAGTTTAAATGAACACATTGAATCTGTTCATAAACAAGTTAAATTTGCTTGCTCTTTTCTTAATTGTGATGTACAATGCTCGTCAAATAGAGCTCTAATAGAGCATGTTAGAGCTAAACATAACAAAGACAGATTTCCATGTGATAAATGTGATAAGACTTTCAAATGGAGATCCAGTTTGAAATATCACAAAAGTCGTTTCCATAAGGATTAACTTAAGTTGTAACAGACAAATATTGACATATGTTATATATCTAAAGTACATTCTTATGATATATGGTCTGTTATGTGTATATTTGCTTCTGTTAGTCTGACCTTACATGCATAAAACAATGTTTACCATGTTTAATATTAAATTGATATTTCAAACAAGAAAAATGTGCTCATGCTATTGACCACACCATTTATTTTATGTGTTTGTTTTAACATGCATTAAGGACATGCTTTCAATTTGTTTCAATAATTTACATGCAAAAGAAATGCATTGTTGTTAAAAGGACATTTTTGTATTTATTTAAATTGTATATATGTTAAAAGAATAAGCCTTGTTTAAAGTGATTTGCCATAGATTAACTATCTTATGTATTTTTTGTTAGAAAGTATTATGTATTATTATCAGTAATCAGACTTATGATTTTATCATATTTAGAGCTGAGCTTGCATTCTTGTATATGTAAGTTCATATGAGTGCATTTGTTTAAATTCCAGGGTTTTTTTTTTTTTTATGACATACATTGTATGTGAAATTAGTCCCTAACAATTGATCTTTGGACATTTCGTCTAATGGTCATATGTCTCTTACCACAGATTCAGAAATCATGTGACACTAGTAGTCTGTCACTTGCAGAGAAATTGGTAATTACTGGTTAGTTATCCACAAAAGCCAGGTAGGTGGATGTACATATGACCAAAATGTGTTAAAATCAGTGTAAAAACCAGACAAATCAATTTTGTTTTTGCGTGTTTTCTTGTGTGGTATGGTTGTATCTTAGTTATCATTTGTATTTTGCATTTATATACTAAAGATATATGGCACAATTATTATCTGTGATGTCCATTGATTATTTGTGCTTCCTACATAAAATCATTACAATAAAATAGTTTTTGTAAATTAAAATGAATTTGTTGTTATCTAAAAAGAATATATTTGAAATGTGCTAACTTAAGTGATTTATTCAGAATTTCGTTCTAAAGTAAAGGTTGACTGAAGTATTTAGTCAAAAGTTTAACATTGAATATAATATATACAGCTTTGTAAACCATTTTGTTACAACATGATACATTTATACATTTGTCAAGATTATTAATTAAAACATAACTTTAACAGTTAATAATCCCTTCCTGACTTTCTTGGTGGAGGAAGACTGCAGGTGCCCCTAAGTGCATTATTTCAGTCAAAAACTGGCATCAAGTAGGACCACCAAGCCTCATTAATGTGTAAGGGTTTACATGCATGAAGGACATGCATTCGTTAGCTTAGGAAACTGCCCTAGGCTACTCATCTGGGCATTGGCCTAACACATTAAAGTCCACTAAACCGATAGGAAAATGGCAGTTGCCACTGGTTTCCTTTCTCTCATTTCTTGTACATGCCACATGTCCAACCTTTGCTTTATTTCTGATGTACTATATAATGGGGGTTAATACATCAACTTATTCTGGGTCAGTTTGACAATTGTAATTTTGTTGTACGGACAAATCACGTGAGGATCAGATCCCATACAGATATCTCACTCTGTTAAGAACTGCTGTCAAGAATCAATGTTAACATACAACTGATGGTCATGTGTATCTGGAAACTGTAAGTCTTTTTTGTACTAAACCATACAAAATACCTTAATTTCAATTGCTAATTAGATTGTAATATTTTAATGCATTATTGTCTATGCTTGTAACATATTTAGTACATGTACACTTTTACTGAACATTAATATTACTTCTTTTTCCATAACTTATTTATACTTCTCATATCAGTAAACTTTGCTACAGTTTTACAATCTTTTTGTTCCAACTTCCCAGTATACCAGAAAAAGTTGAAACTTTTTTCATTCATTTCTTTAGAAAACATAATAACTAACACTCAGACATGCTTCCTGTTTTGAAAGTCACGATTTTCAGCTTGCGACATCATGATGAGATACAGTTTGTTAACCCACTCTGGTAAGGAATTGAAATGGGGGTCATCTGCAAATTTGTTCTTTACTCAGAATGTATTTATATATTAATTTATTGGTTTGTTAATCTGTTCTTATAGGCAGTAACTTGTGACCAATGTCGGAAGTTTGTACCTGCCCAGTACCACTTGACAATGAGTGATGCATCGGTGAGAAATTTCTGTTCGTATGGTTGTGTGATGCAGTTCCAGGCACAGTTTCAAGCTCCTGCGAAACAGGTATTAAATAATTAACTTATAATGTAAACATATGACTTGCCAGCCAGCCCGCATAGCTCAATCGGTTAAAACAGGTATTAAATAATTTACTTATAATGTAAACATATGACTTGCCAGCCAGCCCGCATAGCTCAATCAGTTAAAACAGTTATTAAATAATTTACTTATAATGTAAACATATGACTTGCCAGCCAGCCGGCATAGCTCAATCGGTTAAAACAGTTATTAAATAATTTACTTATAATGTAAACATATGACTTGCCAGCCAGCCGGCATAGCTCAATCGGTTAAAACAGTTATTAAATAATTTACTTATAATGTAAACATATGACTCGCCAGCCAGCCCGCATAGCTCAATCAGTTAGAGCACGAGACTTGTAATCTTGACATTGTGGGTTCGATTCCAGGGCTGATCAACTAAAATTACTAATCAGTCTTTCAGATGAGACTTTAAATCGAGGTCCCGTGTTTGTGCTTTAACACTTGACATGTTAAAGAACCAGGAGGAGCTTCCGGAATTGGAGCATCTTTCTGTATCTTGCAATATCCCCCAAAATATAAAATGACTAATACTCTTCTGGAGGACTCCCCTACATGGGCAATCGGTGTCCAGTATAAATTTACTCAAATACACTCTTTGCAAATGACTTTGATCTTGTCCTAGGCTGTGATAGATACTAAAGCTGTGGCATTGATATTAATATTGATGATCTCAGGTTTGATCTATGGCACAGCATGCAAATGGTAGTATACTGTTGGCGTACTGACTACATTTTCATCTTGCTGATTATATTTTCATCTTGCTTACTGACTACATTTTCATCTTGCTGACTACATTTTCATCTTGCTGACTACATTTTCATCTTGCTGATTACATTTTCATCTTGCTTACTGACTACATTCTCATATTGATGGTAAATTAAGACGATTCCAAAAAGTTCATTTAAGAAATTCAGCATTGCAATTGTTAATTTAAAAAAAAAGAAATTGCTATGTTGCAGGTACCACAACAGAATTCGCTAAATACTGGAGTTGTTGGTAAAAGTACAATACCTGCTCAGCCACAGCAATCAACAACAACAACAACACGCTCTGGCAGGGTTGTTACAAAAGGTAAACAATTACTGTACTTTCTAAGCAAAAGATGATAATAATTCATTTGTTTGTGAGTCATACGAGTTTTAATTTATGACAAATTCATCCCTCTTCCTGCTGGAACCAAGTGTATAGCCTTTGCCAGCCTGTACATATGTGCTGTCTATACAACTTCAATACTGTTGGCAGCTCAATTTGGGTATTTCGATTCAAAGCAAGGCAAATCCATTGTTCAAATTAGCAGATGAATATTTATACCCCCAAAAACGAAGTTTGGGGGGGTATATAGGAGTCACCCGGTGGTCGGTCGGTCGGGCGGTCCAGACGTCCGTTGCATTTTCCTTGTCCGGAGCATAACTTGAAAACTAATGGTTGGAATTCAATATAACTACATACAATGGTCAAGCACATTGAGAGGAAGTGCAGTGCACAAGAACTATTACTCTATCTTCAGTATTTATAGAGTTATTGCCCTTTGTTCTTTTTCTTTGTCTTTCTGGACTTATTACAGAGTAATTCAATTAAACTTCATCAATGGCCAACCACATTGAAAGGAAATGCAACATACATGAACCACAATTATCTTTAATTGCCCACAACCATAACTCTATGTTTCAATTCTTTTACAAGGTATTCTGTAACTAGTAACATCCTCATTTCCGAAGCAGACTTGTGGGGGTATTAATCACATTTAGTGATAGTTCTAGTTCTAATGGGCCATTTTCATGTTAAGTGTCAGTATGCCCAGACTTATTAACATTTTAAAGTTTATGTCTTCTTTTATTTTATGCTAAGTATTGTTTTTTTATAAAAAAAAAAGTTACTGTATGTTATGTGAAAGATTGTACATGTATACTGGGGAATTTCTGGACTAAACTTGTTTTATTTGTTGATTTTTTTCTAGCTCCTAAAGTAGCCGCTGCTGTCCAGCAACAAGTTGCTGTCAAAAATAGAATGGCAAAGAAGGACGACTCATTCCCAATTATCTCTAATGTTGTTTCACTAGCTCCTCAAGGTACACTTGTATATACATCATATTATTAAACACTTATATCGAGAAGATTTATATGATGCTCCTTCATAATTTCAGTTTACTTCATCTTACCTACATTAACAAATATTATGACAATTCTTGTTTTCATGATCTATTGATAAAGGGACTTGCCTTCAAATCTCTTGCTTATCTGCCTTGACCACTGTATGATTAATTCTGTGTAGACATTATATGTTTTCATGTGAAGAAGCTCGGTAGGTTGGAGGTAAATGGTTTAATTCCTATGTTTGCCCGTGCGTAAAATAATGTAAGCTATGTCTCTTCTTTGGCTAATCAATAATTAAAAGTAATTGTAAGGCATTGATGTTATTGGTGGGACTTAAACAGCCCATCCATAAAAGAAAAGTCGTCCAGGCAGTCTACTTCATCTTGCTGCATATGATTTTCTTACAAGTCTGTTGTATTTGATGTTTCAGGTACACAACAACCGACTAACATTAAGACAACAACTCATGCCCTTGTAACTAACCAACAAACTGGAATCAAGGTAAATTATATAGGTTTATATTACTTGTATGACCATCCCTTTCCTATACACTAGACAGATGCTTCAAGGCCAGTTTAAAAAAAAAATAGGAAATTTTAACTTTGATTTAGATTTTAATTAATTACATTTGGAATTTGTGTTTTACTTACACATTGTGTTTAATGCATGAAAAAATATCCAGTTTTTTGATGTCCCAATTTATTTACAAAACATATAAGGGCTTACCAACTTGATTCTTAAATGAAAATGATATGCAAGTTAATATAATATTAAAACATTTGATAACTCAAAGACAGCTTGTCACATTTCTGTTGTTTATGTGATATTTCATTATTATTTTTTAGACGGCTACAACAACAACAGGGAACCAGACTGTCCAACAACAAATTATTATTCAGCCTCCACCACCGACATCTATGAAGAATAAATCTTTATTGTGTAAACCATTCACACAGACAAAAGCTACTTCTTGCCGACCACATACACAAATTAAAGAGGTTCAGACAGGTATGCTTGTTTATATTTAAGATAAAAAATATTTTATATTTAAGATAAAAAATTATTTTATATTGTAGATAAACAAAAATTATTTTGCTCAACAAAAAATATTCTAATGGAGCTGACGTTGCCACTTTTTCTTTCTTTCTGTCAATTTCTTTTTCTCATAACATTTTCTTTCATTGACATTTGTTTCATAATTTAAGATATTTGATTTGTTGGTATCAAGATGTGTGGGTCAAGGTCACCTAATTTGAACATTTTTTGTATGGACTTTTCTTTATAAAAACCCATATTTTAGATTTGATGGTGTTACAATTAAATAATATGTATAAATCAAAAAGGTAATCTTATGATGCATCAACTTTTCACAGTCCAATGAAGTAATTTCATGAAAACAATAAAGGTTATTAATATATACATGTACATATAAATGATCTAATTGCAGAGGGAAAAGCAGAGCCAGAGAAATACCTGATACCCATACCTGTACCTATATACTGTCCGACACCTCTAGCCATGTACTCTCTACCTACCCCAATATTTATACCAGTACCTGTACCAATACCAGTACCTGTGTTCATACCTACAACCAAAAAAAGTGCAAACAGCATACTAAAACAAATCAAGGTATGTATTACATATATTATACTGTTTATCTTGTGCTGAACACCAACTTTGAATTAAGGCAGTATAATTATAGTGAAATTATTTGTCAACAGTATTTTATTTTTCCTGTTGAAATTGTTTGACATTATATTTTAAGGAACTGCTGTTAAGCAAAGACCAATTATTCCATTTCCCAAAACTGACCTTAATGGGTCAGGTCTTACACTAATGAGTCACATAGATATAGATGTTTTATAAAAGGAAAACTTTGTATTTCATAAAAAAAAAACATTTTTTGTATTTTGTGGTTAATTAAACTGCCTACCTGTAAGTATATTACAAATACTTGCTGTGTGAATTGCTGATCATCTTACCATCTATGTTACAAAAACAACTTCTGTACTGTCCTTGGTCTATAGGAAATTCGGGAGAAGATTCCAGCTGATCCACTGGAGGCGGAGTTATTGATGATGGCGGAGGCTGTGGCAGGGAAAGAGGAGGAGTCAAGTAGCAGCAGTGAGGAGGAAGATAATACTGGTATTGTTAATCATATAAATTCTTGGTGATATATCCTGTAACATTTGGTGATAAACCTTTCTATAAACTTCTTGTTGATAAACTTTTCTCTGAGGTTAATAATTATCTGTGATAAATATTTCTTCATATATGTTGGTGTTAAACCTTTCATATCCATATTGAATAATAACCTGGTCTTACCTTGAATTGATATACTTTGCAGAATTAGAAATACGAAAATTTATAACCAAAATACTGTGAGCAGTCTATTTCTTTTGAAGCTGTCTCATGTCCATTTGACCCTCATTGTTTTAGGTTCAAATCTTGCTATGAGTGTTGAATACTTGCATTAGAGAATGCAGCTAACCTACAGAATGTTGGTGGTTCTACCAATACACACCTTTCTCTGTTAGAATGTTGCCATTTGATCTAAGAGGTTTTGTATCATTTAAAACTCATGGAGTGGTATTAAAAATTTCTTGATGGTTTTATTTACAGCTCCCCCGGAGAAGGAAACAAGTACACCAGCGCCACCTACAAGCAGTAGTGGAGGAGGAGGTGGGGGTGGTGAACTAGGGGAGGACATGTTACAGATGGCGTTACGTATGGCATCAGAAATGACAGACGAACCCGTCATGGATCTAGAAAACTCCTTGGAACCAGTAGCTGTCAATACAGGTAGTTTCACTGATGCAGTGACAAATCTTAAAAAATGTGTTTAGCTTTTAAATGATCTTTACCTTTAATCATTAATTTGCAGTTCTATATGAGGGCTATTATGGCATTGCATGTTACGAACATCTTGTTATTTTACCATTCTAACAACATATTATTTTGTGATTTGTATCTAAGTTGATTTTATTTTGTTGTAAAGTATTTGTTATTCTCAAACAGTCATTAAAAAAAAGACAAGGACTTGGCATGAACTGATTTAACCTATGTAGCTCAATGTACTTGTCAATTTTGACCGCTTCCGTGGTAGAGGGGTTAGAGTTGATTACTTCTAATCCAGTTACCTCTCTGGCGTGGGTTCCATCCCCGGGAGATGCTTTGGTTGTTTAGCACAGAGGAAGGTAGTCTAGTACTGGTGTAACTCTCCAGGAACGATGGTTAGGAAACTACCCTCCTATATGACTGAAATACTGTTGGGAAAAGGCGTAAAATGAAACAAACAAACAAACAAAACAAAATCAATTTTGACTATGATGTAAAAGAGGAATTGATAGATGATTAAAAATATATCCTGTTGGACTTAATGTAATTTATTCTGTAACAGAGCCACCCCCTCAGCCAAAGCCAGTTATCCCCACCACCCCACAACCTGTAGAGGATGATGATGAATATGTTCCAACATCAGCTCGTTCACGACGTTCAAGGGGAGGTAACAAACGTCAGTCACGTAGTACGCCAAGAAGAAACCCAAAACGTCAGAAAGTTGAATTACAACCGCAGTATCACGAGGCCACGCCATCACCTCCAGCCCCCGCAGCTCCTCCCCCTGACGCTAACTTCCATCTGAAATACACGTACGGTGTTAATGCATTCAAACACTGGGTACTACAGAAAAATACCCAGATCGAACAAGCTTCTAAACCAGGGCATGGGAAACATTTAAAAACATTTAAGACAGATATCCTACAGTGTACAGCGGATGAGTTGAATTATTCATTGTGTCTATTTGTGAAAGAAGTACGGAAACCTAATGGAGAGGAATATGCAGTAGACAGTATATATTACCTGTGCTTAGGTAGGTACTTGAGTTACGGGCATTTTATTACTTACTCCAATATTAATCAGTATTATTTTGTGTTGGATACTTGAATCAAGCTTGTAATGACAGTAAGATCACTGTTAGATTAAATTCTTTTTAAAGGTTGATTCTGTACTGTATCAAACAATAAAGACTTGGGTGTTTGTACAATAACTAGGTTGCAGAAATAGTAGAAACATGTGCTAATATGTTTGGTAAAATATTAAATGAAATATTGATATATAAGGGTTTTGTTTCACAGTATGTATCGGTGAAAGCAGCATTGTTATATACATTGCATTGGTATACTGATATATTGTTGCACCACTAGATATTACAATATGGTTAAAATGGAAATCAGAATGTTCTCTCAAATTGCCATTCCGTTAATGTGAGAGTTAAAATGCTTTTAAAGCCAGAACATATTAATTAAGAATAGCTCTTTTAAGTGTGAAATTAAGATTGTGCAAAGAATTTTAGTTTCAGAAATTAAACATTTACAGTCAATTTTATGTTAATATTGTTAATGAAGAAACATATAGACAATTATCTATTACATTATGTTTATTACACATTATAGTGTTTCATATTTGTAGGTATACAGCAATACTTGTTTGAGAATGGGAGAATAGATAATATCTTCACTGACTTTTATTATGAAAGATTTACTGAAGGACTGAATGAGATTCTCACCAGATACGAACCCAAACTGAATCATGCAGGTAATGTATCATTACTTACTTTACTATCTATATTTATAGGGTCACTGTAAGAGTAAATGTTTGACATTTTGATATTAAACTTAATGATATCATAACATAGAGTAATAGTATATTTATTTTGATTTGATTACAAAATATTGCTGATCTTTTTAGGTCACAACCATGATAATGACTATTTTGACAGTCTGGTATACATTTTTGCCAGTTATATTTCTGTCTAATGTCAATAAGCAGATATTTTGATGGCAACTCCTAAATTTCATATATTGAATTTACAGTAATCTCATTATTGAAATATGATAAATTAGACTTAAAGAAGATAGGGGGACAGATTTTTTAACTTCTTATATAAATAATCAGATGTTTGGCAGTTCTGCCAATTAGTTAGCCATATTGAAAGTTACATGCGTAATTTTACAATTCAATATGATTATATATATAACAGGTCAGTTAGTGTGCCGTATAGAAGAAGAACATCTATGGGAGTCGAAACAGCTTGGAGCTCATTCACCTCATGTCCTCCTCAACTCTCTGGTTTACTTTAACACCAAATATTTCATGTTAAAAACATCGGAGGATCACCTCAAACTCTCTTTTACTCACATCATGAAACATTGGAAGAAAACAGCAAGTGGGCGGGGCTCCGGTACCGGTCCTAATGCTGGTAGGAGTGTCTATCTAAGATACTACTGTCCTACACCACAGGGGAAAGGTATGTTCATTGTTATATATTCAATACTTACAGTAAAGTAGAGAGCCTCTACAACATGGCAGTTTTGATCACTGATTCAAATCAGTTGCTTATTCACTTACAATGTATATTGGTTCAGATCATGTAAGAAACCTATCCAGCTAGCATATGGAAGGTCATTAATCTACTTAAATGGAGATAATGTACAAAAATGGTCCTTAGGTCTTGTTTGAAGGGGCACATGAGGTTAAGCATTTAGGATTAGCATTGTAAAAACATGGGCCCAGTACATGTTTTCTGTTGCGTTTTGTTTGTTGACACTTCTACTACTATGTTGTTTTTACATTGTACTCTACTACAATTTAATGTCATGGATAAAAGAGTAACTTGTGTATTGGTACAGAATCCAAAAATACTATATTTCCAAAAATACTGCCTTCAGGTTTTTATGGAATAAATATTATAGTGATGTTGCATCGAAATAAATAAACAATTGATAATGAACTAACAAATACTTATTATGGAATACTCATTATGGACACAACAAATTGCCTCATTAATGGATTGTTTTAAGTAACTTTGACAGATAATCAGAAGAAGAAGAAAGAGGAGATGCCAGTGTATGAGCAGACAGAAAATCTGGATAATCCATTGAGATGTCCAGTTAAATTGTACGAGTTCTACCTATCAAAATGGTTAGTGTCCTTATTACATTTATAATTGATATCATTGCTTGTGGTTTATATCCATTTCAGTGTTCGTTAAGACAGGGTTCTTAACATTATAATAATTATTAGCTTGACTGAATTTAAAAGGCAAATGCCTACCACTAGTGCACAACTTCATGTTGTTCTGTAATGGCACTTTGTTTATATACTTTATATCTCCGTGGTCGAGGAGTTAGAGTCGATGACTTCTAATCCAGTTACCTCTCTGGCGTGGGTCTGATCCCCGGGAGATGCTTTGGTAGTTCACTGTTTAGCACGGAGGAAGGTAGTCTAGTACTGGTGTAACTCTCCAGGAACAATGGTTAGGAAACTACCCGCCTTTATGACTGAAATACTGTTGGGAAAAGGCGTAAAATGAAACAAACAAACAAACTATACTTTATATCACTGACAAGCAGTTATCTTCATTATCTTATTAGGCCAGGTTAACTATTTTATTAATAAGATAAATAATTGAATATCAGTATTGGTTTATAATGATTTATCTTCTTCAATCAAAGTACTTTAATGTTGTAAAACTTTGTCACTCCTATAACGTTGTTAATTAGAATTTTTTTTGTATTTTCAGTCCTGAAAGTATCAAGAACCGTAATGACACTTTCTACCTGAAGCCAGAAAGGTCCAGTGTTCCAGATAGTCCAGTCTGGTACTCCAACCAATCTATAAATATTGAACATTTAACAAAACTGTTAAACAGAATTCGATTGGTCCGTGAGATTCAGGAGGCTCATTTGCATACACAACCAATTTACATATAAACTACAGATGATATTGGTGATTATAGAACACACATTGGAAGAGATGGTTTTACTGTTTCTGCAGCTTTCCAAGGTTTCTGCAGCTAAAGATGATTGAATTATCAGAATAACTATATAGGTATCGTTCAATAGCCAGAAAGTCATTAAAATTGATGGTGGCTCTTTTTTGAAAACAAAAGTGTTCGAAAGGTATAGTATAATGACTAGACCTATGAGCTTTTTTTCAACCCCCGACCTATGAGCTTTTTTTCAACCACCATTTGCTTTTTTACAAGACCTGTGTTGTTTTTTTTTCTACCACCACAATTTTCTGCGACGTCTTTGTCATATTCTGCAGGGAAAACATCTTGTCATATTGCAGAGATATTGATCCTTGTCATTTGGTTTGAGATATTCTCGAAAACTTATTTACATAATTGACTGATTGACATCAAACAAGAAAATCAGCTGTACTGTACATGCTTTATAGTGTATCATAAGCTTATATTAGTGGAGGTAATTGATATGCTTCTTGTTTAATGTAGTGAATATGAAAGCATATTTGCTTGCTTTTATGTATAAACAAGATTATTTCCAAGATTGCAGCACTACCATGTGTCTCCCTGTAGCAAAATATTGTTGAAATGTTTCTTATTTCTATATATCTATATATAGAAGTTTTTAGAAGTAAATCTTTAGGTTTACACAGTTTTCGAAGAAAACTTGTCCGATTATTTCATTATACCAGTGATTTGCATTATTACTTTTTTTATCATTTTTTTTAAAATCATGTTGAAATTGTTTTTAATTCATAAACCACCACTTTGTTACATTTATTTTCATTCATAGTTTTTGTATATTTTTAATCAATGAAATGTAAATAAATCCTACATCAAAGCAAAACCGATATAAAATTGTTTACTATATAATTTGTCATCTTAGTGCAATAACAAGTTAACTCTTATAAAATTATATTAGGAGTTGACCTGTAATTGTACAAAGGGGGCAAAATTATGATAGAAATTTGATGATTTTCACAATCAGAAAATGCAATTATTTGTATGCAATTATGATAGTGATTCTTGGAACTTGGGCCAAATTGGTTGGCAAAAATCGACTATAAATAATGTGCATGCATTGAAGATGACAGAATATCGTCAAAAATTATTAAATTGAGGTTGGGAAAGGTTTTGTACACATCACTTCATTACTGCATAAAACCATAAAAAATATTGATGATTAAGTCGATTCATTTGTTCTAGAAATGATGTTGTTTTTGTCAATATTTTCGTCATAGTATATATATACATAGAGCTAGAATTTTTTTTGTCATTTTTCACTCCTGGCATTCAGTCGGTCATTTGTAAATTTTTGTAACTTCTTTAATTGTATATTTACAACATCAGTATATGTGTTGCTATCTCAGTTGTATTTTTAGCTCACCTGTCACAAAGTGACAGGGTGAGCTTTTGTGACTGCTTTTCGTCCGGCGTCCGTCCGTAAACTTTTGCTCTAAATGACATCTCCTCATAAACCACTGAGCCAATTTTATCCAAACTTCACAGGAACGTTCCTTTGGTGGTCACCTTTAAAAATTGTTCAAAGAATTTAATTCCATGCAGAACTCTGGTTGCCATGGCAACCAAAAGAAAAATCTTTAAATATCTTCTTTTAAACAACCCTAAGAGCTAGAGCTTAGATATTTGGCATGAAACATCTTCTAGTGAGTGTCTACCAAGTTTGTTCAAATAAAAGCCCTGGGGTCAAAATTGGCCCCGCCCCAGGGGGTCATTGATTTTCCCTATATGCATATAGTAAAAACTTAAAAAATCTTCTTTTAAAGAACCGTAAGAGCTAGAGCTTAGATATTTGGCATGAAACATCTTCTAGTGAATGTCTACCAAGTTTGTTCAAATAAAAGCCCTGGGGTCAAAATTGGCCCCGCCCCAGTGGGTCATTGTTTTTCCCGCTAAGTATAGTAAAAACTTAAAAAAGTCTTCTTTTAAAAAATTCAAATAGCTAGAGCTTAGATTTTAAACATGAAACATCTTCTAGTGGGTGTCTACCAAGTTTGTTCAAAGAAAAGCCCTAGGGTCAAAATTGGCCCGACCCCAGGGAGGTCATAGATTTTCCATATATGCATATAGTAAAAACTTAAAAAATCTTCTTTTAAAGAACCCAAAGAGCTAGAGCTAAGATATTTAGCATGAAACATGTTCTAATGGGTGTCTACCAAGTTTGTTCAAATAAAAGCCCTGGGGTCAAAATTGGCCCCGCCCCAAAAACTTAAAAAATCTTCTTTTAAAGAACTCAGAGAGCTAGAGCTAGAGCTTAGATATTTGGCATGAAACATCTTCTAGTGAATGTCTACCAAGTTTGTTCAAATAAAAGCCCTGGGGTCAAAATTGGCCCCGCCCCAGTGGGTCATTGTTTTTCCCGCTAAGTATAGTAAAAACTTAAAAAAGTCTTCTTTTAAAAAATTCAAATAGCTAGAGCTTAGATTTTAAACATGAAACATCTTCTAGTGGGTGTCTACCAAGTTTGTTCAAAGAAAAGCCCTAGGGTCAAAATTGGCCCGACCCCAGGGGGGTCATAGATTTTCCATATATGCATATAGTAAAAACTTAAAAAATCTTCTTTTAAAGAACCCAAAGAGCTAGAGCTAAGATATTTAGCATGAAACATGTTCTAATGGGTGTCTACCAAGTTTGTTCAAATAAAAGCCCTGGGGTCAAAATTGGCCCCGCCCCAAAAACTTAAAAAATCTTCTTTTAAAGAACTCAGAGAGCTAGAGCTAAGATATTTAGCATGAAACATGTTCTAATGGGTGTCTACCAAGTATGTTCAAATAAAAGCCCTGGGGTCAAAACTGGCCCCGCCCGGGGGGGTCATTGATTTTCCTTATATGTGTATAGCAAAAACTTAAAAATCTTCTTTGAAAAAACCCAAATAGCTAGAGTTTAGATATTAAGCATGAAACATCTTTAAGTAAATATCTACACAGTTTGTTCAAATAAAAGCCCTGGGGTCAAAACTGGCCCTGCCCCAGGGGTGTCATTGTTTTTAACTATATGTGTATAGTAAAAACTTTAAAAATCTTCTTTTAAAAAACGCATTGAGCTAGAACTTAGATTTTTAGCATGAAACATCTTCTTATGGGTGTCTACCAAGTCTGTTCAAATAAACAAATAAAAGCCCTTGGGTAAAAATTGGCCTGGGGGTGGGGGGGGGGCCTATATACAGGTGAGCGACCTCAGGGCCATCATGGCCCTCTTGTTATATGTTACTGGAGAAAAGTTTGAGAGTAAACACACATGAAATATTTGATTACAGGAAGTTTTGTTTATAGAAGTGTTGAACAGAAAAGTGTCATATTGGCTCCATATTCCTAGTCTATAAATGAACATGTTAGACTGGGTGATTTATTTCACAGGAGTTGAGATTGTTATTATAATTGGCAGCTCCAGTACCAGGGTTGTGGAATTATGTTCTGAACTTTATTTTGTATGAATCATTTATTGTCCCCCGCCTTTTCGAAGAAAAAAGGGGGATATAGAAATAGGCTCCGTCCGTCTGTCCGTCCGTCACACTTTCGTGTCCGGTCCATAACTTTGTCATTTATCAAAGGAATTTGAAATAACTTGGCACAAATGTTTGTTATAATAAGACTATGTGTCATGCGCAACAATCAGACCCCTACCTCCAAGGTCAAGGTCGCACTTGCTAATTCAAGGTCAACATTGTCTATTTAAGGGTATATGTCGTGTCCGGTCTATAACTTTCTTATCTATGAAGGGATTTTGTTAATACTTGCCATAATTGTTCACAATAATCAGACGATGTGTCATGCGCAAAAACCAGTCACCTACCTTCAAGGTCAAGGTCACACTTGGAGGTCAAAGATTAACATAGTCTGTTACAGGGTATATTTCGTGTCCGGTCCATAACTTTGTCATTTATCAAAGGAATTTAAAATAACTTGGCACAAATGTTTGTTATAATAAGACGATGTGTCATGCGCAACAATCAGACCCCTACCTCCAAGGTCAAGGTCGCACTTGCTCATATAATGTCAACATTGTCTATTTGAGGGTATATGTCGTGTCCGGTCTATAACTTTCTTATCTTTGAAGGGATTTTGTAAATACTTGCCACAATTGTTCACAATAATGAGATGATGTGTCATGCGTAACAATCGGTTACCTACCTCCAAGGTCAAGGTCACACTTGGAGGTCAAAGATTAATATAGTCTGTTATAGGGTATATTTTGTGTTCGATCCATAACTTTTTTATATATCAAAGGATTTTGAAAATACTTGGCACAAATAGTCACTATAATAAGACGATGTGTCATGCGCAACACCTACATCCCTACCTCCAAGGTCAAGGTCACATTTCGAGATCAAAAATTAACATTGTCTGTTAAAGGGTATATATTGTGTCCAATCTAGAACTTCCTTATAGTTCAAGGGATTTTGAAATAACTTGGCACAAATAATCACAATAATAAGAAGATATGTCAAGTACAACACCTGCACCCAAGGTCACACTTAGAGGTCAAAAGTTAACAGAGTCTGTTATATGGTATACTTTGTGTCCCGTCTATAACTTCTTCATAGATCAAGGGATTTTGAAAATACTTGGACTAAATAGTCACAATAATAAGATGATATGTCATGTGTAACACCAGTGTCCCTACCTCCAAGGTCAAGGTCACATGTAGAGGTCAAAGATTTACATAGTCTGTTATAGGGTATATTTTGTGTCCAGTCCATAACTTTTTCATAGATCAAGGGATTTTAAAAATACTTTGCACAAATAATCACAATAATAAGACGATATGTCAGGTCCAAATCATGGGTCCCTACCTCCAAGGTCACACTAAGAGGTCAAAGATTAACATAGTCTGTTAGAGGGTATATTTTGTGTCCCATCTATAACTTCTTCATAGTTCAAGGGATTTTGAAAATAGTTACAATAATAAGACGATATGTCATGCACAACACCTGGACCCCTACCTCCAAGGTCAAGGTCACACTAAGAGGTCAAAGCTTAACATTCATTTTATTTCTTTAATAAATTTATTGTTGCATTTGCAGATCTAGCATTGATCATAATTTTGGACTGAAAATCCTTAGATCCATACCTCAATCTTTTGAAATAGCACAATTTTATGCTTCATATAAAACTTCCCCAAGGCGGGGGACGTTGGTAACTCTGTTACAAATTCTTGTTTTGTATGAATCATGTTACAATACCATGAATATTATATGTATTTAATACACATACATGGTTGTTAACTCCTTGTTACAGAATTTGGTTCACTTATTATTTTGAAATATTATACAGAATGAATTTATTGAAGATCTGAGCATGTTCAAATTTAACAGTCATTTGTGTTGAGTGTTGTTAGTTTTTAGCTCACCTGAGCATATGCTCAGGGTGAGCTATTAGGATCACTCTTCGTCCGTCGTACGTCATCCGTTCACACTTTTAAAACGACATCTCCTCTGAAACCATAAGGCAGATCATAATGAAACTTCACAGGGATGTTCCTTGTGTGAAGCCTTAACAAAGTTGTTCAAAGAATTCCATTCCATGCAGAACTCTGGTTGCCATGGCAACCAAAAGAAAAAACTTTAAATATCTTCTTCTAAAAAACCCAAAGAGCTAGAGCTTAGATATTTGGCATGAAACATCTTCTAGTGAGTGTCTACCAAGTTTGTTCAAATAAAAGCCCTGGGGTCAAAATTGGCCCCGCCCCAGGGGGTCATTGATTTTCCCTATATGCATATAGTAAAAACTTAAAAAATCTTCTTTTAAAGAATCCAAAGAGCTAGAGCTAAGATATTTAGCATGAAACATCTTCTAATGGGTGTCTACCAAGTTTGTTCAAATAAAAGCCCTGGGGTCAAAATTGGCCCAGCCCCAGGGGGTCATTGATTTTCCCTATATGCATATAGTAAAAACTTAAAAAATCGTCTTTTAAAGAATGCAAAGAGCTAGAGCTAAGATATTTAGCATGAAACATGTTCTAATGGGTGTCTACCAATTTTGTTCAAATAAAAGCCCTGGGGTCAAAATTGGCCCCGCCCCAGGGGGTCATTGATTTTCCCTATATGCATATAGTAAAAACTTAAAAAATCTTCTTTTAAAGAATGCAAAGAGCTAGAGCTAAGATATTTAGCATGAAACATCTTCTAATGGGTGTCTACCAAGTTTGTTCAAACAAATCCCTGGGGTCAAAATTGGCCCCGCCCCAGGAGGTCTTTGATTTTCCCTATATGCATATAGTAAAAACTTAAAAAATCTTCTTTTAAAGAATGCAAAGAGCGAGAGCTAAGATATTTAGCATGAAACATGTTCTAATGGGTGTCTACCAAGTTCGTTCAAATAAGAGCCCTGGGGTCAAAATTGGCCCCGCCCCGGGGGTCATTCATTTTCCTTATATGTTTATAACAAGAACTTAAAAGATCTTTTTTGAAAAAAGAAACAAAAAGCTAGAGTTTAGATACTAAGCAGTGAGTGCTTTGTGAGTGTCTTCCAAGTTTGTTCAAATAAAAGCCCTGGGGTCAAAATTGGCCTTGCCCGGGGGGGGTCATTCATTTTCCTTATATGTGTATGACAAAAACTTACAAAATCTTCTTTGAAAAAACTCAAATAGCTAGAGTTTAGATATTAAGCACGAAGCATCTTCTAGTGAGTGTCTACAAAGTTTGTTCAAATAAAAGCCCTGGGGTCAAAATTGGCCCCGTCCCAGGGGACATTGATTTTCCTTATATGTGTATAGCAAAAACTTAAAAATCTTCTTTGAAAAAACCTGAATAGCTAGAGTTCAGATATTAAACATGAAACATTGTCTAGTAAGTGTCTACAAAGATTGTTCAAATAAAAGCCCTGGGGTCAAAACTGGCCCTGCCCCAGGTGTGTCATTGTTTTTAACTATATGTGTAAAGAAAAAGACTTGAAAAAAAATCTTCTTTTAAAAAACCCAACAAGCTATACCTTAGATGTTTAGCATGAAACATCTTCTAATGGGTGTCAACCAAGTTTGTTCAAATAAAAGCCCTGGGATTTAAACTGGCCATGCTCCGGGGGCCTATATACAGGTGAGCGACTTTAGGGCCATCATGGCCCTCTTGTTTCAGAAAAGTTCAGATTCCAGGCTGTAGTTTAATAGGGACATGCATGTTGATCTGCTATTTTCAGATTAATAACAGATGAAAATTCAGAATCGGAATAGACATTTTTTCTACACAATAAATACATAATAATACATATTTTTTTAAGATATTGAATGTTTGTCCATTGCTCATGGATTAACATGTGAAGTTTTATTATAATCACTCTCTTTATAGAGAAAGATGTTTTATCTAACTGAAGTGGGTTAGACTATCTAGTTTGTTTTATATCTAACATTTAATCTGCTGAAACTTAAGTCATTAGGCTTTGTATAGTGCTAGGGCAGCCTGCAGATCTTTGCCGTCTTATCACACTCTATGTGGTTAAAAGCTTAAAGTTCCCTTCAACTTTGAATGGACTGTTCCAAGGTCAGCAGGCTCAGAGTTAGATTTGATACCAAGAGCAAATAATGTTGTGTTCATCTTAATAACAATTGTACATTATCACTTTGTATATAATGAAGAAAAAAATTAACTGAATATTCAGGTAAGCATTTTAAATGTTCAAGTACGCTTGAAGAAATTGTCATACATACATACATGTTGTTAAATATTTCATTACTTACAGCGATTCTTACTATTTTCCAAGTGTTAGAGAGAGCTTTTTGTACATTGTTAAAGTCATGTAGTCCATTTGTAGCCTGATTTATTAGTAGAAATAAAATTCATAAATAAAATATGTGCGTCAGTGTTTTACTTAGTAACCAGTTTGAAATGTTTAATTAGTTAGGAGTTATATATGTAGCTGTTATAACATCCTCGAAAAAAAACTTCCTTCTTCAAAAGAGAGATTTATACATGTACATATAGATTTCTGGCAGCCATAAATCTGGAGGAAGGATGAGGATCTCTTGGAAGCAATAATTACAACAAAAATACATGAAAATTGCAAGTCTTAAAAGGAATAACTATATCGCACAATTATGTAGAAGAATCATTATGTAGAAGAATCGTAATGGGAAAGAAAAACGACATTTTGTGACAATAAAATAATAAAAATGCTGGCTTTCCCTATGTGCACCAAGTCTTCTTTATTTCAATCTATAACTAACAACATGATAACTTTGTATGGACGGATTTATTGCACGTTTGTCACGTATTTTAGTACATGTATACATTTTGTATATTTATATTGTGAACTATTTATATATTTAACTATATTAAACTGTTATAAAATAATATAATCTAGAAACGTTGATATAATCACAGATCTATATGTATATAAGTCTCTGATATAATTTACAATGTTGTTTGAGTAAAATCACAATATTTCTCTAATCAATATTGGTAAATATTTTATGTATCAATTCAAGCGGTTGTTAAACTTTCCAAGAACATTTTGTTGCCATCATAATAAAACTTCAGCTAAGGCGGTAAACATTAAAAGCTAGCTTAATGGGCATGACTTTGATCTTTATATGCCATTTACGAGCGTGTTAGGAATATAATTAATAAAGCGACTTACTTACGTCACAGCTACCTGCCAGATAACTGCTGCTTAAATTTGTGGTATGAATTTGTTAATTGAATTATTTACAATGTTTATAACAACACTGTGGATACGTAGTTAACATTTAAGGATTTTCATTATTGACTATGCTAAATCTTTTAGCTAACCATAATAGATAACAGTAATAATATTAACACAAATACAATGTAAAGTCATTTTCTCTTCGTAATGCAATTATTTCTATATCTAATATAGCGACGTTACTGGGTTTTGTTAAACAAAAGCCCGGGAATCTGGCCAACATTTATATTTGTGCCGTTATGGCTCTTGCTACTGTCAGAAAACTCGAACTGGACACCGTCCACTATGTGGACCTTTTCCCCGTCTACGCCTTTAATAGTTGGACAGCCTCGGATAATCACCATTACCGTAAATAACCTTCGCGCGGGAATCCGGACTGGTCGCGTCAGGTACACTTCGTACGTCTGCTTGATACTGCTCGTAAAAACGCTTGCATCATTTTTTCGAATTTCTTCACGTGTGATATCGTCGTACACAAACATTTTCACGCTATATGTTTCTTTTCCATTTGCCACCCCGTATATTTCAACACCGTATAGAACAATAGGATGCGACACGGTAAACGAGATCGCATCAGGTGAACAGTTTTGTTTCCATTGCCCATCCGTTGAATTGAACCTATGGACAGTCGACATTGAAGGACTACGTGTGGACAACATGACTGGTTCTGTATTGTCTTTCATATTACGCGGAAACCGGTTCCTTTCATTTCTACTAAACCGGTTTGGAAGTTGCTGCTCCTCGCCGTGAAAGTATTGAAATATGGACAGCGTTTCATCATGCGACAACAGGTTTCCGAGCGATACCTTCTGAGTAAAATAGGTAATGTCCATGACTGGAAATCGTATTAAATACAGCAATTTACCTAGCACTTCACGACGGGTTTCGTCAGTCGTCTGTTTCTTTTGTCGTCTGCATTCGGCATTTGCCCATGTTATACACCCCTCGAACACAGCTTCCTCGTTTGCTCTCAAGTCGTCGGATTTTAGTATTCTTCCGACACATTCAGCACAAAGTTCGGCAAAACCTGGCTTGCGGAGTACAGCATTTCCATTTGTTAGGGTGTATCTTAGGCATTTTTCATACAAGCTGGTCTCGGTGTAGATATGTGCTTGCTCCATGATTTTAGATACAGTTTCATCATGCATCTCGGCATCAAGGTATTGAAAACAAAGGGTAGTTAAACCTTTCAACTGAAATTTCTTTGCCGCGTACAGCATTGTCGCAACGTTGTCTGAATGTATGTCAAACTCGTCAGTGTAAATGTACCTATAATAGGAAAAAACTCATTAAAGTTAAAATTGACATTTGTTTTCGCTAAGCAGATCGCTACATGGATCAATCGAAATCTCGTATCGCTATCTTCAGCCGTTATATTGAATACATGTTTACACAGAGAACAGAACAAATCACTGTCCAAACAAATTATTTGAATGCTAATTAATGTTGTATTGTATTCTGTCTAGGAACAGTACTATGTTCGGATCACAGTTGGCATGTATTTCATATTCACTGTCTTGTTGGTGTCAAGCATTAACCTTGACATGGGTTTATTCTCATTTAGTACTAAAATTGTACCCACTATTCATCTATTAAAAGTGCAGTCGGGAAAGAGATGCAAACTTTTTAAATCAAGATATCTGTAGCTTGTTTATCTATATTTCGTTCTTTCTATCTAAGTATTTTAGATCTACATTATAATTTTCAAACACAATTTGATTTGACAATACACTAAAATCTTAATATTAAGACGTAACACAAGCGCTTCACCCATGAAGATGTAACAGAATTTGGAAACAAACAAAAAAGTCACAAGGGGCAAGGTCAGTGGAATACGGAGTTGGGGGGCAAAGCGACTTTTTCTGCTTCAGAAAGTCTTGCACTATAGACGCCCTGTGCGGTGATCAGTTGTCATGCAGCAATCTGACATAAGCCAAACCTATTGCGGGTCTTCGTTTTCAAAGTATTTGTTTAGTTTTCGAGGTATTTTTGTCGTGCAAAATTTCACATAAATAGATTTGCCTTTAGGGACAGCAACCTGAATGGCGGGACCCTGAGTTATACATAAACGCCTTTATACTGATGGTCCTTTTTGCAATGCATGGTCTTTCGTTAGACTTTGTAGCCATAACCTGGGTTTTGACAAATAGAAATGAACCCGTGTTACGTGTCACTAGTGACGATATTTGCTATTTGAGCAAGGGGTGCATCTTCAGGCGAAATTAACCCACATTTGAATTTATTAAAACTGATTATAACTAATGAAAAATACATTTCATTGTGTCCGTATACAGAACAGATTTCATCAAAAATGTGTTTAGAGAGACAACAATTCTTTATACAAGACTGTTTTCAATAGCATACTCTGATCTACAAACCATTTTTGTATTTCAGTATACCGAGCTAAACACAGCTAAAAAGTGGACTGATTTTAATCAATTGGTATCAATGTAAAGCTAACATGTATATCTACCCGATACCCTTTCATTTCCTAATGTTTTGTAACAATATAAAGTTCTATGCATTAAATTTGAACACTCCTCGTATTTCCCTATCAGAGCATGGCTTTAGTTCTTCAGTAAATAATGAATTCATCCAGTAAATGCGAAGTTAAAGAGATCTATGGCATGGAGATTATCAGTGAGCTTTACACAGAAATAACATGGTACCATGCATAGACCACTAACATGCAAAGAAGGAGCTTACAAAAAAATTAATATGCTTTTAAAAGAATATTCTGATACTAGTAATAATTCATGAAAAAGAAAGGAAAATCAACATCGTTATGAAAGATAAAGTTTGGCATTCAAGTCTCAGGAGGCCTCACAAAAATATTTAAGGATTTCTTATTAACTAAATATATTTTCTATTTAATCCTATCTAACTTCCAAATACGTTTAGTTTAACATCTGACAGAACTATCCCACCATAATACCATATATATAAAAAATGTACTAGGATGCTACAAACACTTAACCAAAATTCTATGACGAAAAAGAAAATTTTGTCAAAATTTTTCATGAAGATAATTATGTCCTTTTACCTGGAAGTGTGGATGGTCAATAACAAGTATTTAAAAGAACAAAACAGGATCAACAATGAAGGGTGGCGTTCAATGAAAGCAAATCCCACAAGACACAACAACACAGGGCCAGCGATAAGAAGTCCCAAAGCTAGTGTATAGATCTCTCTCTTAATACTTACTGTAGCATGTCTCTAAAGCAGTCTGGTTTCATATCCGGAACCCCAATCTTTATATCCATGTTACCAAGGTGTTTAATCAACGACTTAAACAGCACCGGGCTGCGCGCCATCAGCATGTATTTGTGAGCACGAATCTCTTCCTTGGAATCACCTACTGTAAATGTGACGTCACAGGCCACCTCATACTTGAGCATGTAGTTATTCGCTTGTGGAACAGATTTATTTGCCTGCCAATCTTCCTGTAAATGATATAAAGGATATTCCAATTTTTTTCGCTAAGTACAGGATTTATTTTCATCGAGTGATATGAAATATGATAATTTTCATACCACAAGATGAAAATATATCCTATATTTATAGAAAAAAAATCTGTTTATTATATACATTTATTTTATTTTGACATTAAAATTTTAAAGAATTTCATTTGTTTTGTATCTTGTGTACTGGCAGAATTCAGAAGAAAGTAGTCCGGGCAAGACACCAGTGAAAATACGGAAAATATGTTTCACTACAGTGAAAAATAAATATTTACAGTGAAAAATACGGAAAATAAAAATACGCATTTAATTTCATCGATATTTCTCAATATTTTATTTAGAATAATATAATGAATATGTAAAACAAACAATTATCTTTTAATTTACTTGTCTATTGTTAATTCAAAATGTCAATATCGTTTTTAGTTAATGTCAGGTTTTGAATGTCGGCCATTGATCAGAATTCTAAAACCAAAGATTCTGATAGTGGAATATTTATTTTAATGCTGTCTTATTGATTTAGATACTGTATGTTTTATTTTATTCCTTACAAAGAGCGGCATTGATTAAAGTCTAGTTTAATGAACCATTTACTTGCTACAAAGAAGTTCTCGTTTAAAATAATTTGATGAAATATTAATGTAGCCTTTGTCCTGAGGGATGTCATACCATATAACTTTAATTGAAAGCTTTTGGTGTTAGAATGTGTCTTTATTACGTTTATGACGGTTCCTTTATTATTCATATATACATGTTTATTGGCATATTTTTGCTTATTAGTGACAAAATGGTTACATTAACACAGAAAATTATTCAGGTATACCCAGGTAAATTTTCACTCCAGATTTAATATGATAAAACTGAAGTTTTCCATCTTTTACGTTAATTATGATTTATCCTATATTGTTTAATGGTTAATTTTAATCACTCAATGGTATATCATAAAATATGACCTGTAGACATTATTTATCTCAAAAATGTCAGCTATATCTTATTTCTTATAACAAATAACATGGTAAAGTTCGGGGTTTTTTTTAAAAAAAAAATCATAATTATTATTATTGTAAAAGCTCATATTTTGAGCAAGTGTCTGTAGAACACAAGATTCGATAACAGTCATTCATAGCAAATGATATTATCCAACTTATAAATGTACTTTCCTTTGAGCTACATGCAATTCATTTATTTTAACATTTTCTAGAAATACATGCAAATCAGCACTTTTTTAAACATACAAAAATATTATTGATATATTCAAGTAGCATTAAATGAAAACTGTATCCATGCAGCTACGAAATAGATAGCCGAGCCTATTATTGGTGAGGGGGCAAGAGATTTGGAGAAAGCAACTTCAACACTCGACCACGTCGGCCTAGTTTGCTTGCCATTATACCTTTAATTGAAGATTAGACATAGTGCTGTTTCATTTAATGCTAAGTCGTATACAAGATACATGGTAATGTAATTGGAAAGTGTTTGAAAGATGCATGCCTCCACATGAGATAAAATATTAAAGAAAATCAATCTGCAGAAAAATCTACTAAGAGTTTCAGAAAAGTAAAAATATTCCAGATTCAAGTAATAATTTTATGACAGATTTTGCAGAATTTATTACCATATTTCTACTGCAATACGCAGTAACGGCTGTTTCCTCTTTTTGGTGATTAGCGCGAATAGTATGTGTAAATTACTTTCAAACTTCTGAAGAAAATTAAAATAAATCTGAAGGCACGGTGCTATACAAGTAAGCAGTTAAAATAGAGCATCTAAGTTAGTGATATATCTACATAAATAACTCATTTCGACACTTATATACCTATATTTTCTTTAAAATAAAATATTTGAGTTATTGTGTGCCTGCCGATATATTACAAAGTTTTGAAATAAATCACAAGTTAATTTTAGTGAACGTATATAGATCTAATATAATTCAATCTTACCATATGTGTAGATTATCCGAGACAAAAAACACCCAACTATTATATAATCCAATTAACCAGTTCAATTTAGTAATCCCATGATTCTATTTAGAATAGGTTTACACCATTAAACAGAAAATACATGTGTCAATGCGACAATTATTTGATCAAACAATTACTTTTATGATTCCTGTTACGGACTAGGGTTATATATCAACAGTCAAATGAAACTGTAAAATCCAGGAATTTAATCAATCTTGTATTGTTTGTAAAATTGCTGAATAAATAATCACAGTTATAAAGAACGTGTTACAACGCTGATTTATATTGATCACTGGACGCCCCCTTTCCCGCCAATCATGTAATTGTTTCAATTCTAGCTGCTCTCGTACTAGGGGGGATTACTCTGTTAACATCCGATGTTTAGATGAATACACTATTTATCTCCGTCATTTCTCATGAGCCCACTTGAAACTGTGTACTCGCTATGAATTATTAATATAATGTATAAAATTTGTTTAATCTCTAATGTCTTTTGTTATTTAAGTCGATACTTTTCCCTGTCAACTAACCAGTCAATAACTTCTTTCTTTACTTGGAGTCGCCAAGACAAAAGTATACGACCAACTTCTCCAAAACAGTCTTATATTATTCACCTTGTTTTTTTGTGTGTTTTTTGTTTGTTGTTGTTGTTTAAAATACAGTCAGACTCGGATCCTTCGATCGGTTTTATTTTTGCAAAGTACAGAAGCTTAATATTCATCGGTTCTTATGGAACATGTCGTTCTGATCCCCTTAGTTTACTATGTTGGAACATACAGTGTATACGCTTGTATCATAGTTTGGGGACCTTTCTGTTAAATCGTATACATATACATGCAAAGTGCGTTAACTGGAGTGCAGTATTAGTTACCCGCACTCCAGAGCATGCCCATTGATTGACTCATTTTTGCTGGGGTTTACTTATTGTGACGGAAGAGAAAAGGGAAAGCGATAGAATTATCATATTCAAATGCTCGTTCATTTTTTCCTGGGGTTTCATATTGTGACAACAGGGAACGTGTTTTTATGCTTGACTATGATACAAAAGAGAAAGAACATCAAAACACTCGGCAATCCGATTAATATCCGGGGGGGCTTAGTCCCTTCGTATACAAATCAGATAGCCTCGTGTTGCGATGCTCTTTCTTTTACTTATCCTCTAAGAAATAGATATTGCTTATGTTGTAACACCGTGGATTTAGGAGACGAATACCATTTTGTTTTGATATACCCATGCTATGTTGATATCAGAAAAAAATGTGTTGAACGATATTTTTTATAACAGATCTATGCGTGAATTTATTGAACTGGTTTCTTCTAACAACAAAATTATACTTAGAATCAAGTTAAATATTTGAAAAATTCTATTGTAAAACTCCATCAGTTCATTTCTAATTTTGATTTGCAGGGTGATAATATTTAAGTCGGCTTCTTTAATTTTAGTTCCAAAAGAATCACTTAATATTTTTGAATATCCGAAATGATTATATTTACCCGAATACATTTTAACAGCAACAATATGAAAGTGCTATTAGAAGAAACCATATACCCATACATTGGGAATGAGGGAACGAGTATCATAATGTTGAATATCCCCAACAGATATCTGAGAGCAAGAAGACCAAGGACAAAGCTCTATCGCATTGTCGAACAGCGCTTGTTCTCAACGTTATAATGAACAGAACAAGAGAAAAAGGCACTATATATGTCCCGGAGACAAATCCAAATAAGAATACCAAAATGTTTTTTGGTTTTTGTTTTCAGCCGTTGAAGGTTTTCATATTGAGAGTATTGCACGTCACCCCAATGGTATTTGGGCCAAATTTCAAGAATGTCTCAATATTGGATCATAAGATATATCTAGTTGTCAGTAAGTCTATATGTATTTCAAACTGTATTACTTTGGGCTATGAGGGGCTGTCTGATTGTGGCTTTTGTTTTTGGTCCACTGGCACTGCGCGCACATACAAATATTTTTTTCACTTTTAAAAACAAACAAATATCATTTACATGTCTTAATCCGCATTACAAGTTTTTCCAAGAAAATGATTATTTTCTAACTCATTCCTGGGTGACTTTTCGATTTGTGCTTCATCGAAACTGATATATACTATAACAATTTTTACATTTTCGATAAACCAGGGATCTTTTTTGGTTTCGTTTTACGTCGCACAAACACAGTATAGGTTATATAGGGACTTTCCAGCTTTACTGGTGTACGTAGGCCTCGGTGGCTCTTTGTGCATTAACGGTCTAAGTGGAATCACCGACGTTCCATAAGCTAGCTTTCTAACAAGAACCCACAGCGGTAAGGAGCAAGTAGTTTGAAGTCAACAACCTTAAACATTAACCACTCGGCCACGGGCGCCACTAAGCCAGAAACATTGGAGCCCCGTCACAACAAAACCAACATAATAGGTTTGCGACCAGCATGGATCCAGACCAGCCTGCGCATCCGCACAGTCTGATTAGGATCCATGCTGTTCGATATCAGTTTCTCTACTTGAAATAGAGTTGGTAAGCGAACAGCATGGATCCTGATCAGACTGCGCGGATGCGCAGGCTGGTCTGGATCCATGCTGGTCGCAAACGCACTATGTTGGTTTTGTCATGACGCGGCTCATTTGCTGGACTTCTTATTTCATTTAACGAAAGCAGATAAAATATGATTCAAATTATCAAGCGTTACCCCCGAAGTCGGCGTTACCTCAAAACAAAAAGGAGCTCAATTACATTTTATCTGATTATTTCAGTACAATATGACTCAAATAGTGAAACAAATGTCTCACATACATATCGAATATGATAAAAAAAATGTAGCATGCTTTATTGTATTAAATATATAGATAAAACACAAAAGTCGCCTTTAATACGGTAGCCAGTTCGTCATTGTTAAAAATCTTGAAAAGCAAACACTTTCCTGAAAATAATTATCTTTTATGGGGTTTATATAAATGTCTAAGCATCCGTTTGAACTAATTCATTTCTTTTAATTTACTCCGGCGTGACTTGCACAATTCTTGCTTCAGAACTGCGTTATGGTATATTCACGGTGGAATAGCTACTGCAACAAATGCTGATATTGCTGATATTGTTGTATTGATTTCATTTAGACTAATGTCTTGTGTGAATGTATTTCATGAAATAATGTATTTATGAACTGTCTGTGTTTAATCTGCATTACTTTATAAATTATATATCACGTTGTGATTATTAACTATATGATTATCATGTACGAGTATAATTTGTTAATGATATTGGTTGGTTGGTTGATCGATCGATCGATTGATTGATTGATTGATACGCTGATTTTTCTTTTAATTAAACTGTACAGGTTTGTAGGGGAAAAGCTCGGATCAGAATTTGGTCGCAATAACTCCATGACATATCAAGTCAAGCACAAATTGAACTTTGCAAAATTTTACACAAAAAAAGCAGCTTTATGTTGAACAGGAAAAAAATGGCCAAACCCCTGGTCAAACAATAATATGTGTATACTATTATGCTATAAATCGCTCGTGGAGAATAAAAAATACGATAAAGAATATGCCCATGGCTTTCAGCACAGTTGATTACATAATGGAAGGGGTGACTGTAATGCATTTCCATATAACTTTTTTGTGAATATTAAATGAAATGATTGAAAAATTAAGACAGTTGTGTCAATGGTTGTATGACACCCCCTTTCAAAAGCTCGACGGTAATAATGGCACTTTAACAGAACGAATTATTGACACGCCAAATGTTAAATGCTATTTGACAGTATGCCGACAATCAATTGAAACTTAGTGGTAAAATTATAGATTCTTTTACATGAATTTCTATTACGAAACTATTGGTTTGTTTGAATTCAATAGAAAAGGCCATTTTTGTATTGACGCTTATAATATATTTCATTATACAGCTGTTTACACATTTGTTTTACTGAAATAAAAATATCATCATCGTGACTCGAAATAATGACGATATTTCCATATCTTATAACATTATTGATAGCTTTAAATATTCAAAACATAGGTTAAAGACATACTATGCGCATCCTTGAGTAAAATACTATAATCACAGACATTATTAAAATCTATGAAATGCTTACTGAACTTGAATAAAAAGAATAAACAAATTATATATGGGATGCTGCGTTTCCTATTACAGGTCAGGTAAAGTTGTTCCTTTCTTACATATACTGTCAGTTTATTTAATGAAACCATATATTTATATTGTGTAAAATTTTAAACTTTGAAGTAAAAACATGTTTGTTTTATATTTACGAAGAGACTGTTTAGCAATAATCAATATTTTCTACAGTATATTTATTTATTTATCTTTTTTTTTTTTGAAAGCTAACAAACCTGTTACTTAAAGAGCGTTTTGTTTGGCTTGCAATTACTCTATATAAAAAGCAAAATCGACAATAAATTTTTAAGGAATATATGTAACAAATATTTTGAAATATGATAACTTACCCCTCTGCCTTCTTTCACTGGTTGAGGAAGGTCGACTACAGATTTTTTCCCATTTTGTACAGGCGTTTCTGATGCACGATTCGGACTTCCTCTAACTGATTGTGTCGGCGTTCGGTTAACGCTAAGACGAGTCGACTGTCTGTTCTGTGTAGATTGTCGCGCGCTATATTGTGGTTCTGGCGTCGCGTCGTCGACGTCATCGTCTTTATACTCGCCGGTATTCGGCGAAACCGTCAACGCCCTCAACAAGCGTCTATCAGCACTTGGTGTTCGAGATATTGCAGCTGGACTACGGTTAGACATAGCAGACGGTGGGTTTTCTTGAGGAGGGTTGGAGTTTCTGCCCTGACTACGAGGAGTAGTTTCTCCCGGTTTTGGTGTTGGGCCCTGACCTTCGTTAGCCGCTGTTGCTCTACTAGCACGAGATGCACGACTCTGTGACATCTTTTTGAAAGTGTTTATATCTAAAAAAGTATAAAAACTATGAATTTATGACACATTTTGCCGTAGAGACTATATAGATCTAAACACGTTTCGTTAAACAATCATGTATGACAATAATTGACAAAAACCTTATCAGGTGTGTATGAGAAAATTAATATCCGTGTTTTATAAATCCATCAAAATTGTTTTTCAAAAGCTAGAAACATTTAAATAACTATGCTACCTTCTAACGCATTATTCCAGGACTGCTATAACAATATAACTATGGAATTAACGTAAGTTGTTAACACTTTAACGAGAAAATCGTGTACCAGCCTCAAACTATTTCCGCAGAATGCTAATTAGATAAATTTTTACGTAAATGGTCGTTTGGTGTGAAGATTTTCAAAGATATACAACTTAAGTCAATAACTTCAATTTAAAATGGGAACTGTTCAATAATTCACAGTCGGCTGCTCTTTCAGATATAAATGCATTCTATACGAAGTAATGTTAGCTACGAGGCTAATTATTTCTACAAACTGAAAAGAAACGGCATCAATAACTAATTTTTGATTGAACTACGGTTGTATATTTGGCTGTTTGACGTTTCTTTTTGCAGACGCTGAACAGAGCGTTGACCTTTGTCTGCGCTTCAAATTTCTGTCCGGCTGAAAAAATTAAACTGGCTAAAATTTAACGATGCGAGATTTTGCTGTATACGTGTAGTTACAAACAACAATAGACACACACAAACAAAACAGAAAACAAACAAACAAACAAAAAAAAGACAAAAAGGAACGAAAAAGTTCAGAAATATAAACATCCAATTTCAAATTGTTAAACACAAAATACATTAGGTTATAGTTTGAAGTGCATCCTAAAATACAATTTTATAAGAGATAACTTACCTCATACAATATAAAGCAGATGCAGATATGATCTAAACAGACTGGAAATAATGATAGTTTCCGATTGCTCAAGTCTTTAGGGATATTAAACTATGGTGATGTTAAAATCAATTGTTTAAATCAGCAACAATTCACTTCCATTTAAATTGTGCAGTATACTATTTTGTTCACTTTTATCTATTTTGCAGTTGACAGATTGCAGCTGATCTAAATAAATATATAATTTTCAGCTATATAGAATATAAAATCAGGCCCCAGATTGCGAACGTTCAGACAACGTTCCAAAGCCCGGAGCAATTTTGCTTCCGATCAGTAAGTGCGGAGCAGAAGTAAACATTGACGTTATTATTTAAGCGTTAATATTAACCAGAAATTATAACTACAAACATCTGAACATGTGATACTATTTTCATCCTTTTTGAAATACATGCTTCGTCGATTAAATCTATATTCTGGTATTTAAATATTTATATAAGTAAGATAATAAACATAGCAACAAACCAATACAACAAAGGCGGAAAAATAAATCATAACAATGCAACACTTATCAGACAGAACAACACAGGCCAAGTAAAACATCATAGACCAGATAAAACAACACAGACCAGATAAACAATACAGACCAGGCAGAACAACACAGACCATGTAGAACATCATAGACCAGATAGAACAGCACTTACCAGACAGAACAACACAGACCAGACACAACAACACAGACCAGATAGAACAACACAGACCAGACAGAACAACATAAACCAGATAGAACAACACAGACCAGACAGAACAACACAGACCAGATAGAACAACACAGACCAGACAGAACAACACAGACCAGATAGTACAACACAGACCAGACAGAACAACACAGACCAGACAGAACAACACAGACCAGATAGTACAACACAGACCAGACAGAACAACACAGACCAGACAGAACAACACAGACCAGACACAACAACACAGACCAGATAGAACAACACAGACCAGATAGAACAACACAAACCAGACACAACAACACAGACCAGACAGAGACAGAACAACACAGATCAGAAAGTACAACACAGACCAGACAGTAAAACATATACCAGATAGTACAACGCCGACCAGACAAACAACACATACCAGACAGAACATCACAGACAAGACAGAACAACACAAACCAGACATTACAACACAGACCAGATAAAACAACACATACCAGATAGAACTACACAGACGAGATAGAACAACACAGACCAGATAAACAACACAGACCAGATAGAACAATACAGACCAGACAGAACAACACAGACCAGATAGAACAACACAGACTAGACCGAACAACACAGATCAGAAAGTACAACAAAGACCAGATAGAACTACACAGACCAGACACACCTATACACAGATCAACTGAAACTGTTATTTTATAATACATTTATAATGTCGGATTTTGAGTTTGTTGCAAAGAAAATATGAGGTTTAAAATAGTTATATACAAATAAAAGCTGCAAGATGTTGTTTTTGTGTGTTTTTATACACATGTATTGCTTTGAAGGTCACATTTGAAATTAAGATATGTTATTTGTTTTTACGGTGGTATATTTTCATGTGAATACAGATATTGTTATTATTATAATTATTATTATTATTATTATTATTATTATTATTATTATTATTATTATTATTTCACCATGAGACAGAAGAACACAGATCGGACATAAGAACATAAATAAGACAGAACACATATCAGACAAAAGAACACATTCAAATAAGACAGAACACAGATCAGACAAAAGAACACAAATAAGACAGAACACGAAGCGGACAACCTATACAACACATATCAGACATAACAATACAAATAAGACAGAACAACACAGACCAGACTGACCTACGCAGACCCAAAAGAACAACAAAGACCAAACAGAACAACAAATATCAGACCTACATAACAAAACTTATCAGACAGAAACAACAAAGACAATACGTGACAACACAGACCCGACAGAACAACACAGACCCGACAGAACAACACGGACCGGACAGATCATCACAGACAAGAGAGAATAACAATGGCCACACTAACTTAACAACGCTTATCAGGCAGAGAAACATAGACCAAACAAATCAACACATAGGGATGAAGATTTATTGAGACAATTAAGCGAAAGCACTTTGGAAAGTTTTAGATTTGGTTGTTACTAAGTATGTTTAGCAACAACAATTCTCATGATCATCCGGCTTAAGGGGATTCAACTAAACTTTAAAGGATCAATGGACTCTATAGAAAGAATATACTGGTATTAATCCTGGTTTTCTGTGTAAACGGCCATCGGTGACAGAAAGCAAACTATAACGGGGTTGGATCGGTGATAAAAATGCTGAAATACTATCGGTTTTTATCGTTTGTAAATCGGAGCTAAATCGGTCGTAAAGCAGATTAATCGGTGTTTGATAGCAAGTCATCAGTGGTTAAACACTTTCCGTCAGATATGGCGGCTGATTCATATTTGGTTATCTTTGTCCGATCGGCGATATCGGTGATTAAGAGCTTGCATATCTCGTGATATAGGTTGCTGTCGGTTATTTGTAAAATATTTTCACCGATCGTGAATTTTAAACATGTTTAAAAATCCCAATCGGTATTTTTTCACCGATAAAACTTATCTTTCCCTAAGAGCAGTTGATAGGTGGAAAACAGGTGACCAATAGGTGATATCGGTGTTAAATATGTTGTCATCGGTTCACTTCATAATTTAGCTAAACAAGAGCTGTCAGTAGGACAGCAACGCTCGACTATTCTTAGTGCTTGATAGTAAAAAAATGCTTGATACAGTTTCCTCCTCCTGTTTACAGGTTGGGGTCATGATGGTGAACAAGTGTGCAAAGTTTCAAAGCCATATGTCAATGGACTTTGAAAATATTTGAACTATTACAAAAACTTTAACATAAATTCTAAGTCGAAAAAGGGGCATAATTCTGTCAAAATGCTTGATAGAGTTACCTCCTCCTGTTTACAGATTAGGGTCATGATGTTGAACAAGTGTGCAAAGTTTCAAAGCCATATGTCAATGGACTTTGAAAATATTTGAACTATTACAAAAACTTTAACGTAAATTCTAAGTCGAAGAAGGGGCAAAATTCTGTCAAAATGCTTGATAGAGTTACCTCCTCCTGTGTACAGGTTGGGGTCATGATGTTGAACAAGTGTGCAAAGTTTCAAAGCCATATGTCAATGGACTTTGAAAATATTTGAACTATTACAAAAACTTTAACATAAATTCTAAGTCGAAAAAGGGGCATAATTCTGTCAAAATGCTTGATAGAGTTACCTTCTCCTGTCTACAGGTTGGGGTCATGATGGTGAACAAGTGTGCAAAGTTTCAAAGCCATATGTCAATGGACTTTGAAAATATTTGAACTATTACAAAAACTTTAACATAAGTGGTTACGCCGACGCCGACGCCGACGCTCGGGTGACTGCAATAGCTCTACTTATTCATATCGAATAGTCGAGCTAAAAACTACCGATGGCTCTGTGTAACTGGGGTGTAAAATAATTCATATGATGCGCCTTATTCCAGACAGAGATCAACGTCCGCCATATTGTTAAATATTTACGCTAACTGCCTGTGTGTAATTTTACCATAACAATTTAGCTCAAAAATATTTTCGGGTCTTAAACAAATTCAATTATGTATTAATGTGTATAATGTGTACCAGCACAATATTTAAACTTTACAATATATTATAATACGTACACTTATAAATATAATATTTCCCTATACATACAAAAATCAGTTTAAGTGCACGAGACTTTTTTTTTATAAAAAAAAAAAATGGGGATAATATGATGGCATGGCTACAGACTGTAAAGTCTTTGACCATGTCTTTATAAGAAACATGTACTGCAATTTAGTGACGAGAGAACAGGAGAACTGACATAAGATAGGTCGCTAAAACATTTGACTTTTTAAAAGTAGTCTTTGAGGCAGTTATTTATTGGAAAAAATCTACGTCCGGCTTAATATTAAAGATCATATTGGAAAAGATCATTACCCCAACTATACAAATGTTTGTTGCCAATGGAGTCCATGAATGTTAACATCTGATAGCAAGTTAATGAGTTATTGTTCCATATAGGATGC